ATTAATAAAAATATTTCAAAAATAATCAATTATAATCAACAAAAAAAAAAAAACTTTGATAAAATTTTTTTTTTTTTTTTTTTTTTTTTTTCTCCTGTCGTTAATATCGACTTTGTTAGGTTGACCGAGAAAATAATGGGGACCCGGCTCTCGCTTCTCTCGCTCCGATTAAAGACGCCCTCCCTTCGTAGAACACACGAGAGAAAAGAGCACGCCTGGTATCCTCGCACCGTGTAATCCGCGGATCACGCCTCTGTGATAAATTATATCTCTTACCCGCGACGAGACTTCATCAGATCTTTCAAATAACATTCGATAATTTAGAACGCGCGCGTATATGATATTGTTTTATTCGGAATGGAAATATATAAAAAAAAAAATGATATTTTATTCCAAAATGTAAATTAATTTTAATTATTTAATTTAAATTTAATTATTTATTTTATTTTATTTTCAAACGTTGATAAATAATCAATGGATATAATTAACGTTCGCGTATTTCATAACATAAATGAATCATAATTTTGAAAATATAACTTCTTCGATATCTTCTTGCGTGGAAAATGTATAATATTTACGTTTCTAAATGATAATATATATTCCTAAAATTTATTTCTGTCATGTATCTCTGACATAAAAGATTTCGTATTGGCAGTTTATATAAAAATGTTCAACTTTTATTACGGAACATTAGTTTCACCCGAGAGATACCATGAATCGTCGATGATCGTTTTGATCGGTTCGCTATCTAGTGCGCGAGCATCGGTGCGGAATCTGCGCAAGTTTGCACGCATAAGCGATCCGACAAAGCGACATCCTAACAAGCCGGCATAGTTGATAGTCGAGCGAAGATTCCGTCGAGTCGCGAGCGCGCATATTACACATACACATACACCCATGTAACCAAGCTATCAACTACACAAGGATAAGATATGAAGAATAAGGTATAGATATAAAATTTTATTACTTTACGATTTCAATCAGAAGCAAAAAGAGATGCAGTATAAGCGTCTGATTAGAAATACTTACGCTGGAGTTTCTTACTATCCGAGTATAATATTAGATAATAATTTTTACCGATATACATATACATGATGTTTGTGTTATTAAAATTTATCTGTAATATTTATCTGTAATCTCTTTACAACATATATTCATATATGTCATTTCAAACAAGGACACTCACATGTCATTTCCCTGTCATCGAGATATTTGACGTTTAAATCATTGATGAAAATATGAATGAGAAAGTTACGTTCACACCAATTACATAATTACTTTCTTTTCAAATAATTCCTGCTAATATTTGAACGTATGCTGCGATTCTTATGTGAGTGCCTCCCTGTTCTTTGTACGGATATTCTCGCGTTTCATTGTGCGTCTCGACCCCAGCATCTCGCGCGATAATCCTTTAAATTCGATATTGACGGCTCGGTCACGAAGACAATCGCTCGGATACGATAAGAAGACGGGTGTTATCGCGTCGCGCTCTCAGCATATTGGTATACAAATATTTCTCTTCGTCGAATGCCAAGGCTCCTCCAATCTCTCGAGTCACGTCTTTCACCATCGGCTGATTATTAATCGACGCGATTGTAACGAGATGCAAATGAGTTTCACGTGCGACATTGTCATCGCGTTTCACCAATGAAACACACGATGATTATATACGGGCTGTTCGGTCGGAACCTGCTCCACGTGCTGATAAGAACTTCATAATTTTGTTCTTTTTTATTTTGAAATGAAGGCCGAATATATTATACGGAGAATTTTAAACGGTATTGTATTAACACAATTGTGTTGTTATACACAAGAGAAGAATCGTGTCGAGAAATATGTACATTCTTTTTGTCACAAGTGTTCGCATTTACAAATTTTTATTACTCGATTGATGAATTTTTTCTAGCGTTTTATCAATATTATAGAATATTTAATAACGTACTGTTTTCAGAGCTCTTTTCAATTCGCTGATAACTGATACTAACGGACTTGTATGCAACATTTGTACGTGGGTTGTAAAGCTGTAAACTTTGAGAAGTTTAAAAGGCGAACAATTAGCTCGAGCAATTAGCCTATTATTAGTGTTTGATTGGCGTCTCGTGTTCTTAAATAATATCTCGTTCAAGTTTAAAACTCTCTTATTTCGATTAATCAACTTTGCACAACGAAACTATCATCGACGGTTT